ATGGAAACCCATTGGGTGACCTTGGGCAAGTCACACTCTCTCAACCTCTCGAGAAGGCAATGGCAAACCTCCTCTGAACAAATCTTGCCAAGAAAACCCTATATAGTCAACCCCTGTGTAACTTTGCCCAAGTCACACTCTCTCAGCCTCAGGGAAAAAAGCAGTGGCCAACCTCCTCTGAACAAATTTTGCCAAGAAAAGCCCATGCATGACCTTGGGCAAGTCACACTCTCTCAACATCTCGAGAAGACAATGGCAAACCTCCTCTGAACAAATCTTGCCAAGAAAACCCCATGACAGTCAACCCCTACATAACTTTGGCCGAGTCACACTCTCTCAGCCTCAGGGGAAGGGGACGGCGCCCAACCTCCTCTGAACAACACGCAATTTCAGCCACAGTCACACAGCCCAACCTTAGGCATCCAGCCCAAATGCCACCATAAACTTGTGAAATATCTGACGCCGTAAATCTGATAAGTCTCGGATGATGGGAGCTGCAACCCCAAAAGCCAAAGGCAAGCCGTGAGAGCTTTCTGTTTCGGAGGCACGACCGGCCCAACCAGTCGAACCCAGGACGCCCGCATGCCATCCTTAGGAGCGGCCATTCGAGGCCAACCGTCCAGTCTGGAGGAAGGGAGGAGAAGCCGCGCCAAAATACCCCACGGTCGGGTTTAATAAGCGGGCGGATCAGGGGTTTGGACTCAGTTGCCCCGCCTGGACAATGGGAACAAGGCGGCCATCTGCAATGAGGACAAAAGGCAAGGTCCTCTTAATTTAAAAAGGGCAGGTGGAGCTCCACTCCACATTCTTCATTACGACATCCAGTCCTCCGGATCCACCGATATTTTTAATCCACGGATTCAAGCAAACACGCCTTGAAAATGCTCAAATATTCAAATTCTGCCGCCTTGAGTCCCTATGTTGGGAAGAAGGCGGGATATAATAATAAAATAAAAATAAATATTCAAAATAAATATACACGCCAAAAAGCAAACCTGGATTTTGCCACTTTTTATTTAAGGGATGCCATTTTATTATGCCACAGTTTTTAATGGGACTTGAGTAGCCATGGATTTTGTTATCCACAGGGGTCCAGCAGATACCAAGGGCTAATAATAATAATAATAATAATAATAATAATCATCTATTGTAACTCATGGGACTTGAGCATCCACAGATTTCAGTATCCATAGGAGTCCTGGAACCAAACCCCAGCAGATGCCAAGGACCCACTGTATTATTATTATTATTATTATTATTATTATTATTATTATTATTACTACTACTAGTACTAGTACTACTAATATTACTGCTACTACAGATCACATCTCCCTTATCCAAAATGCTTGAGACTAGAGGTGTTTTGGATTTCAAGATTTTGGATTATTTGCATCTACATAAGGAGATATTTTGCAGATGGACCCAAATTTACACGTAAAATTCATTTATGCTTCACACCCCAAAGGTAACAACAACATATTGTTGTGCGCCTTCAAGTAGTTTCTGACTTATGTGGAGTTTTCCTGGCTAGTTTCTTCAGAGGGGTTTTGTCATGGCCACCCTCTAAGGCCGAGAGAGTGTGACTTTCCCAACGTCACCCAGCAGGTTGATATAGCAAGCAGAGATTCGAACTCTGGTCTCCCAGTGTCCCAGTCTGACGCTCCCACCAACACATGGTGCAGTCAGTGGTTTGAGGACTGGACTATGGCTCTGGAGACCAGGGTTCGAATCCCTGCTTGCCATATAAAACCCACTGGGTGATCCTGGGCAAGAAGTGACACTCTCTCAACCTCAGGGGAAAGCCATGGTAAACCCACTCTGATGAAATTTGCCAAGAAAACCCCACAATAGGGTTGCCGGAAGTCGGCAACAACTAGACACAACAACAGCAACAACAACAACAACAACAATAACTGCATCCTTCCCCGCACTTTTGCAAAATTAGCCCACTGCCCACATGGAAGTGATGTGAGCTAGTTTTGTGCATGTGTGAATCCCGGAGAGATGAAGATGTTCACACACACAGTTGAGCCATGTGTTCGAAACACCAAGGGCTTTCCAAAAGCCACAGGTTGCCAGGATTGTGGTGGCACAGATGTCCTCACAGACATTTTCACAAGTCCAGAATTGAGCCCGGCCTCCTTTGACTTGTTCAATGCAAAAGGGGAAACCAGCGCACCATGCTCACTCAGCAAAAATCGGTGCCACGACAAGAGCGCACCCTCGCACTCAGCTCCAAAGCTGGCCTGTTTTGCAACCTACAAAGGAACACCTGTGAGAGCCTGAGAGCCTGTACTTGGCATTAATTGAAGGCAATGTTTAAAAATAAGCACACAAACACACACCCATGTGCACCCATGTCATTACAGCAACGCCACGGGGATTGTTGTTGTTAACCATAATCCCATCTCCCCGTTTCTGGTTTTTAGATTATAAACCCTATATGCCCCCTGGCTTGGCTATGAGAACCCACTGGGTGACCTTGGGCAAGTCACACTCTCTCAGCCTCAGAGGATGGCCATGGCAAAAACAAAAACAAAACTCCTCTGCAGAAACTTGCCAAGATAGGTTCATCGTAAGTCGGAAATGACTTGAAAGCACACACAACAACAAATGCCCAACAACAACATTATGGTTGCATCTGCACTGGAGAAATAATGCACTTTGACGTCATGGCTGCTCCATGCTATGGATGCTGGGATTTGTAGTTTGTTGTGGTGCTGGAGCTCTCTGACTGAGAAGGCTAAGCATCACACACACACACAAAAAACCTATAATTTACAGGATTTCATAGCATTATTAAACCATGGCAGTTAAAAGGGTCTCAAACTGTATTAATTCTGCTGTGTAGATGCACCCAGGGGAAAGCTAGATAAACTACAGATCCCAGGACTCCATAATATTATTGAGTCATGGCAGTTAAAGTGGTGCCAAACTGGATTCATTGTGCAGCGCTGCTTTGGAGGTTTTTAAACCTGGATTCTGTGTATTCCTGCTACATGGCAGAAGATGGTTGGGTTGGATGACCATTGGGGTCCCTTCCAACTCCAGGATTCTATCTATTCCTGCATGGCAGAATGGGGGTTGGACTAGATGACCCTTTAGGGGTCCCTTCCAACTCTAGGATCCTACGTATGCCTGCATAGCAGAAGTGGGCTGGACTGGATGACCCTTGGGGATCCCTTCCAATTCTAGGACTCTATGTATTCCTGCATGGCAGAATGGGGTTGGGTTTGACAACCCTTGGGGATCCCTTCCAACTCCAGGATTCTATCTATTCCTGCATGGCAGAATGGGGTTTGGACTAGATGACCCTTTAAGGATCCCTTCCAACTCTAGGATCCTATGTATTCCTGCATGGCAGAATGGGGCTGGACTGGATGACTCTTTGGGGACCCCTTCCAATTCTAGGCTTCTATGCATTTCTGCATGGCAGAATGGGGTTGGGTTGGATGACCCTTACTCCAAGATTCTCTGTATTCCTGCATGGCAGAATGGGGTTGGACTGGATGACCCTTGGGGATCCCTTCCAACTCCAGGATTCTATGATCTGAAAGATGTAGCCGGTAAGTTATATTTATATCCTGCCTTTCCATCCATGAGCTCAATGCAACCTCTACAACTCTCCTCCTCTGTACTTTGTTCCTCATACCATCCCTGCAAGGTAGGTCAAGCTCAGAAAATGAGCCTGGAACTAGTTCATTTCGCAGGGGGGGTGGGAGACTAGGTCTCCCAACAACCCTGCGAGGTAGACCAAGCTTAGAAAATATTCTATTCCACAAGTGACAAATCCTCAGCCAATTTCCCGGACGAGGAACCCTGCGTAACGCAGAATTCTGCATGCACTTAGAAGAGAAAAACAAGGGAGTCGCGGGGGGGGTTGGGTTAAAAAATGGGTTTTTTAAGTTTTACAAGTAAATCAAAATCCTCTTCTTTCCTGATTTTACAATTCAGAATCCATGGATCCTTTTGTTACCAGGGAGAAAGCTAAATCAACACCTCTAAAGAAAGTACAGTTAACAGATCGGCCATCTGGAATCAGACTCAAATTATATCCTTTTTAATAATAATAATAATAATAATAATAATAATAATAATAATAATAATAATAATAATAATAAATATGCCCTTCTACCTTACCTTAAAAGAACGATGAAAGCCTTTGAGCTCGGTCTTCTTCTGCACCATCTTGAGATTTTTAAAATGCCGGAAACTGAGTGTTCAGAAGAAGAAGAAGAAGAAGGGAATGGGGAAATGAAAGAAAGAAAGAAAGAAAGAAAGAAAGAAAGAAAGAAAGAAAGAAAGAAAGAAAAGAAAGGAGGAAGGGGGGATTTAGATGGAGCTAATCGGATCGGCTGATGGAGACCCTGGAAAAGAAAGAGAACAAGGAAGGTATAAAGAAAACACTTTGGACTCACAACTTGGAAAACTGAACAAAGTGTGTTGTTGTGGCCAAGATCGCAAAGGCTCGCAAGTTTTATTCTGCATGAAGAAGCATTGTCTGCCTGCAAAAGCCTCATTTATGGAAGAAAGAAAGGCAAGGAAAACCCTCATAGGCACCAAGGAGACTTTTGGGATCCAGAAATAGATTATTCTCTTTTTAAAAAAATAAACTACACTTTGCACACACACACACACACACACACACACACACACAAGGCACACAGACCATCTCTTGAGGATAAAACACAAACACAGAGACACACAAAGACAATGGCAAAGGAGACAGATGTGCCCTAGAACAGAAAATCCTCTTTCAAAAATAAGAATTTTTATTCTGTTTTAAACTACAACAAACAAAGGGAGGCCTTCCATGGAAAAGAAGAGTGTTAAGAGGCAGAAAGGGGCCTTTTTAAATTCTTTTGTGCGGCAACACAACCCAGCATGGTTTATCCTATCATATATATGACATATTTTATATATATATATATATATATATACATATATATGAGCATGAGAGAGGGGCAGAAAGGATGCTTTTAAATTCTTTTGTGCAGCAACACAACCAGCATGTTTTATCCATATATATATATATATATACATACATATATATATATATATACATATATATGAGCATGAGAGAGAGGCAGAAAGGATGCTTTTAAATTCTTTTGTGCAGCAACACAACCAGCATGTTTTATCCATATATATATATATATATACATACATACATATATATATATATATATATATATATATATATGAGTTTGAGAGTTATAGAGGCAGAGAGGATTCTTTTGTGCAATAATGCAACCCAGCATGATGTATCCTTTTAAAAAGACACATATTTATCTATCTATTGATTGATTGATTGTCAATATTTCTTTGCACACATTTATTTGCCAGGGCATGGAAACTCAGGGGCGTGAGCGTCACACCGACACTTCCTTCTTTTGCACAAAATGACTTCCAGTTCCTAAGGAAAAAGAGAAATATCTTGTATTTCCAAAGCAACCAAGACCCCCTTGTATTTTCTTCAAATCTGGAGTAATTTCATGTGCAGTTTGCCATCTGGAGAAAGGAAAATTTAAGGGGGGGGGGTTTTGTGAGATTTCTGATTTTGAGGAAGGAAAAACCCACACAAAGTTTGCAAAAAAGTAAATAAACAGAGTGGAGTCCCCAAATTTAATCTTCCACCCCTTTTTGGGGGGGAAAATACTGCATTTTTTGCAAATACCCCTTTAAGAGACATACATACATCATACATACATTAAAGGGGCATTTGCATTTTAAAGGGATTTGCAAATTGACACATATATACACAAATATATATAGATATACACAAATATATATATATATACATACACACACACATATATAGATACACAAATATAATAATGCAGTAATGTGTATATATATATATATATATATATATATATATATATATATATACACACACACACACACACACACACACACACACACACAAGTATACACACAGACACAAATACACAAATATGTGAGTATGTGTGTATGTATGTGTGTATTATAGATGCACAAAATATTATAGAGATGTTATAGTCATACAACTCTCCTCTTTCTCCATGCCACAGCTTTTACATTTTGCAAAGGGGGGGGATTTAACCCTTCCCTTTCCCATCCTAAATATTGCAAATGCATGTTTTCCTTTCAGCAAAAACAATATAAGTATTTTCCTTTCTTTTGCAGGCTGTGAAATTCTGGATATTATTTTTTTT